TTTTATTAGAGCAACTCAAATAGTTGGAAAACTTCTTTTTGCAAGCTTTCAGGTACAGACACCCTTCTTCAGGCAGAGGAAAAGCTTGCAAAGAAGATTTTTTCCAACTGTTTGAGTCGGTCTAATAAAAGATATCGGATTTACCCAAAGAACCCTGTCTGCCTATGTCCTTAGCCCAACACAGCTACAACCAACAGTTCTTCAGCATGCATTTACACCCAGGCATCGCTCCACTGAGGACATACCATATTTTCATGCATGCAACATGTTCCAAAATACATTTGCTTTTGAAAGGCAAAACGAAGGGGAAAAAAATTGTTCTTTCTTTGCAGTGAATAGCCAAGTCATAGCAACAAGGGAGCTGCATCCCTGTGGATGGTGTCTAGACTTAACTTTAGGTTTTTTCCCGTTAAATGGCAGAAACTGGTCCAACCGTATTTCCCCACACATAATGTGCACTCCATTTGCCAGTAGCTGGTTTTTGGGAAAATGGTGCATGTCTTTGTGAAAATATATGGCATCTATAGCCAAGACCCCCCCCACTCACAGCTTCTTCTACTCATGTGTTCAAAGTGCCTGCCTACGCGAGAAGCAAGGATGTCGTAGGGTGATATCTTTTATTGGACCAACTATGTAGTTGGGATAAAGTGAGACAAGCTTTCTAATGCAAGGCATTGTTCGTTCAGGTCTCTTGATCACAGTAAGAAAAGCATGGCATAGAGGAGGGACAGAGAGGCTCTCAGGGGGACCAGGCACCCAATTAGCAGAAGAAAAGCAGCTGTTTACTGAGAGATCAAGGCCCATCCAAAAGGGAAGAGGGTCACCCTCACTTTCCTTGTGCAGGAGTTAAATAAAATATAATGTGCCATAAACAGATAGCAGTGGGTAGCCATTGGTTCTTAACCAAGTTAATAGTAGCGTTGATAGTAGAGGCACATCTCCATTGCACCTACCATCAACACCCCCCATAACAAAGCCATCCGAACCCATGGCTTCTACCCGTGCCTCTGCCAAAATGTGATATACCCAATCCAATGTACCAAGGGCAACCATGTGGATGAAATGAAACAGTGACTACGTACTAGAATGAACTCTCACAAAAGAAATATCAAGGATGGAGACTTGCACACATCATTAGGAGCACATTTCTCTCTAAGCAACCGCTCCCCCTCTGACCTCCCTATCCTCGTGCTCAAGGGAGATCTACCCAACACCTTGAAAAGGCAAACTTGGGAACAACACTTCATAAGCTGGCTGGAAATGAAGAACCAAGGACTAAGCATTGAGACTGGCTTTCTGGCACACTTTGTTTTCGTGAACTCCTGCGTGAGGAAGGGGAGAGCAACCCTCTTTCCCTTTGACAGGTCTCCATCTCCCAGTCATCTGCTTCTTTTCTTCGGCTAATTGTGTCTGGTCCCCCTGAGACTTTCTCTCAGCCTCTCGCCCCTGCTGTGTGTCAGGGTGCTCGGCCTGGCTTCCTGTGAGCAGAGACCTGAGGAAGAATGCCTTGCATGCGAAAGCTTGTCTCACTTTATCCCAAGTGTCCTTGGTCCAATAAAAGATGTCACCCTAAGGCATCCTTGCCTCTTGCATAATTCCTGGACCATCATGGCTACACCATCACTCCTACACTACTGTCTACCCTTATGCACCTGGACTCAGGGTGCAGAAGCAGGATGGCTCTTCCTCCCTCCTATGGACATGTAGCCCAGATCCACCCAGGAGGGACCAATATCTCTGTAATGCCACACGTTTCCTCCCCCAAAGGAGGATTTTACAAGTCCTATCAGTAGCTCATTATCGTTAGAGGTTTTTAAGACATTGGAGGTGTTTAAGGCCCGGCTAGATAAAGCCTTGGCTGGGATGATGGAGTTGGGGCTGGTCATGCTTGGAACAGGGGGTTGGATTAGATGTGGCCTCCTGAGGTCCCTTCAACCCTCATTTTCTCTGACTCTATGATTAAGCAGAAAGCAGGGTAGCGTGGCACCTTGGAGACTAACCGGTTCAGAGAAGCATGCATTTTCCGAGGCACCAGCCTAGCATCTGATGCTCCAGGCACCCCCTGGAAAATGCCAGCTTAGTCTTCTCTCGTGTTTTGGCTACAGAAAAATAACAGAGCAATTCTTCTGGGGCAAAGCACTTAGAAAGACCAATTTGAATACTACGGATCCTTGTTTGAATGTCTGGGCTTTTCTTCCAGCAGCTCACAGTGCTGACTTGTGTAGCATGCCCCAGCACCCCTGGAAGGACCTCAAGGCACCCTCGTGTACCGCAGGAACCTCGCTGAGCATCCCTGCTGTAAGGTACCACCACCCTGCCTGACTTCAGACTGACACAGCCAGCTACCTCTCCCTGCATTATCAGAAGGAGTTTGGTTTTCTTTTTCCTGGCACGTTAGGGACTAGCGTAAAAGCTGACACAAATATTGGCTTTGTGTTGTCATGTTCACTTAGCAGGACGCCGTCCCTTGCTGTGGGTTTTCAAACAAGGATGCAGCACAGCCTGAGAAATGGCGTATTTTTTACTCCGTGCCTCAAACACAAATCTCTTCTCGTTGAAAGGACTTTTCACAGCGTCGGCCTCATTCCTGAAGACACTGTCGAAGGCTGGGAAAGCATCTCGCTCAGCAGTAGGCCTGACAGATATTTGCAAGGAGGCCCGTGTCTTTGCAATCCACCCTTAGGCTCATCCAGGCTGGCCACAGCTCCCTTCTTTGCTCTCTCCTGCTGTCACCAGGCAGCCTGCATCAGGGCAATTACCAAAGCAAATCAATCTTCTCTTGACAGTTCATTTACACTGAATTAATTTGGAATTAGAAACCATTATTGCAATTGGCAGCTCCAGATATTCCCAATACAACAGGGCCTCTATGGGGAAAACAACTCTAGACCCCGGCGTTTGAATTAAAAAGGACAGTTCTTGCTGATTGAGATATAAAGCCGGCAAAGATTTTGTCTGGAGCGGTCGTTGTTTCTGTGCGGCTCTCTGCAAAGCTGAACCCAGTGCATGTGCAAACAGAGTCTCTTTGTGCTCACAAGTTTTGCCCCTTTTCAGAGAGTTTTACTCCACTGGTTCCTCTTTTGCATCACTCATAGCATATGATTTGTAATACAGCAGCACCTAGAGAAGCCAAAAGAAGTGGAAGTCCTTTCCTGCCAAGCCCTGTAAAAATGCACATTGAGGTCAAAGATGCACCCATCCCTAGCATGGATCAAGCATCCCAGTTTCTGTAGGCTGTAGCACATAAGAAGGTGATATGACTACCATCCCCTCCAGCCGCCTGTGATTCCCAAGTCCCCTCGAGCAGGTAATAGGTACTAGGTGAAGCCACCGCAGCCCTGCAACACACCTATCAGGACACAATCCTGCCCCTGGTGAGACTGCGGCTGAAAGCAGGCATTTATCTTTATCTTGCCGATAGAGAACTGAGGCACGGGGAGATGAAATGACATGGGCAAGGTCACGGAGCGAGTCCGTGACACAGCTGAACTCAGCTTGCTCTAGCTAATGCGCCCATCCCAAGCAAATGAGCATCCAGTATATCCCACCTTTTGCAAAACACGTTTTCTTGAAGGATTTGTTCTCTGTTGCTACAGAACCACTTTGTAGGGCCCTGAAGGTAAGTATCGTTACAGTACTTACAGATGGGTACAGCTTTTCAAGGGGGCCTTTTCTGGGCTTAGCTACCCAGATCCAAGGAAGCCTGCATCTGTGAAATGCTGTGACCTCTCTGCTGCTAGAGTTGGTTGACATTTTTTTTTACATGGGGAGGAGGGGGCAGAGGGGAGCAAAAAATACTATTTATTTTTCCCAGAAAATATTGGTTTGGGTCAAAATGTCCCAGGGTTTTTTTTTTTTCTTTTAATCCAGGAAATCATGGATAAAATAGGATTTTTATTAAATATTTTTGATTGTGGCATATGGAAAAATGTTCACTGAAGATGGACTAGCCGAACACCTTGCTGGGGTCGTTTGACCCCAGTGCTCTTTCCTGCCATGGCAGGGGGTCGGACTAGATGATCTGCTCAGGTCCCTTCCGACCCTAGAAACTATGAAAAACAAATTTCTTGAAAGAAAGGAGTTGTCAGCCTTCCCCATATATTTTGCTTTTCAGTTTTTGGGGGGCGAGTGTTGGAAAAAAACCCAAACATTTTAATAGAAATGTTTGGCAAATTCCTATGAAAAAATAATTGGTAAGTTTTAAGTAGATCTAACTATCTCTAGAGGTTAGACTTGTGCTCCTGTTGAAGCTGTTCCTCTCTGCCTGGCATAAGGAAGCAATTATTGGTACACGGAGTGGGTGGCAGACAGCAAGAGCGAGCATGAAAAAAGGGACCAGTAATTAAGGCGTTTGTCTCGCCCGGGTTTCAATCACAGAATTGTAGGTCTAGAAGGGACTTCCAGGGATCACATCTGGTTCAGCCAGCTGCTTATGGCAGGACCATCTTTATCCAAACCATCCGAGACAGATGTTTGTCTAACCTGTTCTTAGTATTGCACAAACATCCCTCTTGCATGACTACCAGGTACAATGTCAGAAAATGTCAAGATCACCCTTTCGTTCACCACTGGTAAGGCAGGACGACCACATCACTGTCACTGTCCTGCCACTGAGAGGACAGGAAGTCGTTTGTTAAAATACACAAGAGATCCAAGGAAGGTGGCCATGGCCTACATCCTCTACAGGGGAAGGTAAAAACCTCCACCGTCCACACCAGTCTGACTGTGGGGTAAAACTCCTTCCTGATCCTAATTGTGGCAATCCTGGCACTTCCTTCAGCTCCTTGCAGGGGAGTTGCAAAGAGGATGGAGCTGGGCTGTTCTCAGTGGGGGCGGGTGACAGGACAAGGAGCAATGGGCTCAGGCTGCAGGAAGGGAAGTTGAGGTTGGATATTAGGGAAAACTTTCTCACAAGGAGCGTAGTAAAGCACTGGAACAGACTACTTATAGAGGTGGTGGAGTCTCCATCCTTGGAGGTTTTGAAGACCCGGGTAGACAAAGCCTTGGCTGGGATGATGGAGTTGGGGCTGGTCCTGCTTGGAGTGGGGGATTGGACTAGATGTGACCCTCTGAGGTCTCTTCAACCTTCGTTTTTGTGTAGAGCAAGTTCCTGCAGGGAATCTGACTTGATGGACAGAAGAACATCTGGTCCACAAAGCCCGGGGCAGATTAGGCGTTGAGTTGTGAAGAGTGAGGTACTTCTGGACATGCCCAGAAGCAAGCATTAGGCGTCAAAGGATCATTAATGTCAGGCATCTCCAAGGCTAGTAGCAGTCGAGCAGTGGCTTTGAAGATCTGAATTTTGGACCTGGATGCTTCAAGTGGCAATCCAGTTGCTGAGACTGGCCTTATCCCTTTTGAATCTAGAGCCCAAACTACATCCCATCTCATTCTTAGTCCTGATTAGGGCTAGGTAGACACCGGCTTTTTTGGTTTGTTTTTTTCATACGGAAATCTTTCTATTTCAATGAATCTTTCCCCGTTTTGAAATGAAATAACCCCCCTCCCCTCCCCTCCCCAAAAAACAAATAGAAAGTTCCTATTATATGAAAATTCATGGGGAGAAGGGAATTGTTTTGGGTTGATTGAAACATTTCATTTCTATTTTGAATGATTCTAGACTATATCATACTCAATTAATAAAAATAATGGAAATGAAAGAGTCATTTCAAACTTGAATGGTCCGTTTCAAAACGAGTGAAACAGGATATTTTGACCTTGTCACAACAATTTGTTTTTTAACAGAACAAACCTTTGTTAAAACTGGCCCAAGGAAGGGCACATGATGCTCAAAAGCTTGTCCAACAGTTTTCCCAACTATAGTAGAAACAACCAAAGAGCTCACCAAAAAAAATCTTCTCTTAAAATAGAGAAATTCCTGGAAAGCCCTTCAACCCCCGAGTACCACTCCAATCTCCTTCCCCTTCCTAGTCTGCTTTGCTTTTGATGAATCAGTATTTTCAGACACAACCACCTTCCCCTGGAAAATTCCTAATCACCTCCCCCACTGAATACGTTGGCAGTCAGTCTGGTCCTACATGACATAGCCATGATATTGGAAAAAGCTTCAGATAGAAACTCTACATCCATATGCCTTATTCTGTCCACGGTCCCTTTCCATTATATATCCAGGGCCGCCACCCAAAGCCCCACCCAGTTAATGGAAAGATTTTAAGAGACTTCACTGAGCTTTGAAACACCCCTCTCCATCCAAGAGGGATTCCAGATCAGTTGTTACACAAAGACATGGTTTACAGTGTAGACTCTACACCAAAGTTGGCCAATCTTTTTGACAGGCATGCCAAAAAAGGAAGCCCTTCACCACTCCAATCTCCTTCCCCTTCCCAGTCTGCTGCTCTGCTTTCTGCTCCCTGGCCTAGTGTTCCCTATTCCGTCCCTGAGCTGCCGTGTGCCACGCGGAGACTTTGCATGTCACTCGTTGCACGCATGGCTCAGGTTGGCCATACCTGGTCTACACAGATGGTTCTACCACTCTCCCTTTGTGCAATGCTATCTTTGGGTAAGAAATCAGTTGTGTTCCCATGTATCTGCTTACAATTTATCACGGCATTAAATACTTTTCTCTCTAGTTCCTTGACATTTGGCACCAACAGAAATTCTCAACAGCAAGTTTCTGTACCTCCCTCAGCCTTTTTCTGCTCTCTCTATTGTGAAAAAAAATGGCTTACTCAGAATAACAGAGTCTAGTTCTGTGACTCAGTTATTTTTTAATGGGAATTATTACGTATCAGCCGCAGAGTGATCAATGATTCAAGGCCCTTTTGATCTCTAGGGACCTGGATTTCTTTCTTTTTTTTTCTCCTAATCCATCAATATCTTCTTTACTCTACTCTCCAACCAACCAACCAAAAACAAAATACAAAAGAAAATGGACAAAATCTAAAAATTCAAATTTAAAATCCTGCTCCAAGTCAAGTCAGCACTCTGAGAAGAAAGGAGGACCAAAGACTTCATGAAATTCAATAGCTAATTTGTTGTTTCTATGGATTTTATGGGGAAGTTGCTCAGATACTAATTTCTGCAGGAAAGGTTTGGCTTAGATTTCACTTACCATGGTACAAATATAGGCTCATGAAAATGGTTACTGCCCATCAGGTGATCTGGGACTCCTTTAACTTGTGTTTATTTGATCATTTGGAGATATTATCAGATAATGTCCAGAGTCACACTCTTGTCAAAGCAATATTCTATGGATAAACAATATTTTATGGATAAACTGTACATTTAGTTACATTTGTCTGTCTCGAAAGCACCACCTTTAGAGAGAGGTGGGGGAGTCTCCATCCTTGGAGGTGTTTAAGACCTGGGTAGACCAAACCTTGTCTGAGATGATGTAGGTGGGGCTGGTCCTGCTTGGAGCAGGGGGTTGGACTAGATGTGACCTCCTGAGCTCCCTTCCAATCCTAATTTTCTATAATTCTGTAATCAGGCCCTGGAGATATAAACTTCATTCTCTGAATTTCCATATTGAAGGTAGACACCAGCAGCTAAGATCAACTTCTCTTGCATTTAGGTCTGAGCTTTCCAATTTTGTGGAGATGTTTGAATCTAGGGGTTTGGCTTGGTCAGAGCCAGTCCTCTAGTGTGAGTCCAAGGCCATGTGTATGCAAAATGAGAGGCGTGTGTGCACAACACTTTAAAGCAAGCTAAATGTTTTTGCCCTGCTTTAATGGTGTCGGTGTTTGCATGCCTCAGCAGCGTATCGCGCATTAATTCTAGCTGCTGTAGGAAATTCAGTGGCGTAATGAGCTTTAAATGACTTGGGGTGTAGCAAACTAAAACTCTTTCAAGGAGTTTTACTTTGCTGCCCCTACAGCCATGGAGCGAAGCACCGGGCTCTGTGCAGCTCGAGGGCTCTGCAGGAAGCCCTGCAGGCAGCCTGGCAGCAGCCTGGGAAGACAGCTCTGCCCAAGAAAAGTGAGAGATTGATCTTTTTTTTCCTGCCCCGCCTGGAGCCTGCCTGCCTGCCTGAGCTGCATGGGGGCCTGGTGCTTCCCTCTGCGGCTGCAGTGCCCCCGGGACCACCCGAGCCAGGTGCCTGCGGGTGGGTGCCTCCTGAGGGGGGGCACCACTGCTGCAGAGAAAAGCATCAGCCCCTGCCACATCCCAGGGACCGCTCCACCCGCTGGCAGCCCGCCCTCCCCTCCCCACCGGAGAGGCAAGTAAGTCAGCAGGGTGTGTGCACAACACAGGGGTTTAATCAGCCCTAAATTGAAGTGGTGTTTTTAAAACCCATCGCTTCAATTTAGGGCGCCCATTTCATCTGCACACACCCCAAGAATCCAAGTGTACTGGGATAGTTGATTTTGGTCTGATAACTGGTTACGCCTTTATTATTGATTTGATTTAGGCCTCAATATAGGAGTGGACTGTAACAGCATCGCTGGTGTCAGCATTCTTGGAAGTTCATAGGCACCCTCCTCTGTCACTGTGTGCGTGATTGCAATCCTCACGTGAATTAATTTGTAGCAGTCCGTGAGGCCCGATTCATCCCTGCATAAACTCATTTAATTCCAGTCAAGCTGAATTTCACCCAAGATGTCTGCAATGGGTGGTTTGCTTGTAGTCACTCCATTTCCCAACCCAAATACACCAGAGCCCCCAGTTCTCATCTGAGACATGCGGATGTCTCCGATAAAGCCAGTGGAGGTACACCAGCATCCGACCAGTATAAAGGGGCCTCAAAGCCTGCAGAAACTACAATGCCAGAAGATGCCATGGAGCACAAAGACCTCACCAAAAGCCCACTGAAGTGTGTGGAAAGGCTGTTGCTTTGGATTGGGCTCTAATTGTTCAGTATGTAAGTGCAAAACTTGTTTGGGACCCAGTTTTCAGCCTCTGATTTAAGATGACACTCATGACAGGTCCCCACTTTGGATTAATTCTAAGTAGGTCCTTGACTCCCATTGACTTCAGTGGGCCCTAAACACATGCTAACATTTAAAACCATGCTGATGTACTGTCTTCCTTGGTGGGGGAAGCCTCAGCCGCTGTTGTCAGTGGAGCCCGGTTGAGTTACATCGAGCAGAGGATGTAACATTGCCAAATTCAATTATTTTAATCGCCAGCAAACTCAGCCGTTTTTTGTGAGCAAAACTGTCCCTTTTTGGCACTTGTTATTCTGATGGCCAAGTTGGGCTGCTTTGCTTTGTCCTCTTGAGCTTCTCCCCAAATTCCCTGAGCTATACAATTTACAGTTTTATCAACAGTTCCTAAGCTTTGCCCTGCCTCTCAAATACTTCTCTGCTTTAAATAAACCTACTTCATCCCCCCCCGCCATAACTTTCCAAAGCAGATAAAAAAAATCTTGAATTTCTGAAACATGCAAACTGATCACTGTGGCATTAAGAAATCTTAAGAAGACTTATTTTAAGGGGTTTTATTAGGGAAATTCCTGCTCTTTAAGATATCTGTACGGTTGTCAAAAGCAGTCACTTTTGCAGATGTTGGGGCTTTTCTTACATTAATCTCCGAGGAAAGCCTGAGCCTCAGAGATCACTTAGCAATTTTTAGATTTAAGGAGATGAGAGGAGAAAAGCCAGGGAGCCGGTCCCTTTAGGGTCAGTCTGATTTGAATTCAGAGATCTCTTCTACAAACATGCAACAGTGTGGTTAAGACTAATTAATGCAAGGCGACTTGGGGAGGCTTGATTGAAAATAGTGTAACCTAAACCCCTCTCCACACGCGCACGCGCGCGCGCACACACACACCAACCACCCTGCACTGATCAGCGAGGAGCCATTAACAAATTTATCGCAGCTACTAAATATGATCTTTCCCATAGAGGTAGATACAGTGGGCTGCTTATAAAATGCTGTTACACGCATGGGAATCACATTTCCTTTGCAGATTTCTCACTGGCCAAACTTGTATCCGTCCGTCCGTCACGATAATGCCCTCCCATTTGCATCTGGATATAAAGGCATTAGCCAGCCCTCCTTAGTTAGTCTCACTATTAGCTCTGTATTTCTAATTTGGCAAATCTTTAACACCTTTCTTAAGCCGGAGGAGCGCTAAGCCAGATCGCTGCTTGTCTAATCACATCAGCTTATTCCCGATTTCCAGAAATTACAAGAAACACAGAAGGGGAAATGGCCAGAGAGACTGTAAACAACACACGAAGAAATTCCTAGCAGCCCCCTTCGCCCCATAGCCGGCCCTGCCGTCTTTTCTCAGGCATGACTTCCTGCGGGAGTTTTACAAGGGCAAGCACTAGCCCCGGTAGATCAAAATCCATATCCAATGTATTTGATACCAGCCACGCTTAGAAATATCTGTATTCTCTCTAGCCCAATCCCCAGCTACAGATGAGCTCTTCAGACTGTCAGATAGCTTACTAACCCCTCATTCCACCTCTTTCAAGCAACACAGATTAAACGTAACTTGTTTCCATTTTGGATCCACTAGGAGATTAGCCACACTTCTGTAGTTTTAGAGGGGTGGGCTCCCCCCTTCTTTTCCATTTTTCCCCAATTTCCCAACCCTACTCGAGTCAGGTAGCCCATAAACATGCCATTAAATAAACAGACTTGATAATAAAGACACCCGCATGTATATTTTTCCCTGTCATGTTCGTCTTTTAATATCTGATTAATGTCTATTTTATGCCTTCTTGAGTATCTTGCATATGCCATACTGTATAAATCTGCATATATTTTTTCAGAGCTAGTGGAAGAGCTAAAAAAAAAAGAAATCTGTTTTACTAAGAAGACTTGTTCAAAAGAGCTCCTTCCCAAGCCAGATGTGATGGAAAGGTTTTCATGCTATAGGGCAGTGAGAATGTCATGACAAGGGGCCAGTGCATGAATTCATTATTGGCATTATATTGACCAATATATTTTTCTCTCTGAGGTATAGAGATACAGAACTGTGCTGTGCCAATAGCTATGGGATAATTTGGTGGAAGAGATTCCCTAGGTTGATTCTGATGGAGCAGATGCAGAGAGATTTTGTAAGAAGGGCAATATAGATCTATATGTTATGCAATGGAAAATCCACATACTTTTTTTCTACCTAAAAAATGAACAAGGGTTTCAGTGACCTTGGTAGATACCCATACAGAAGGTTGGGCCTGTTGTATTACTGATTATCCCTCTGGTTGGCTTTCCATTCACTAGTTTTGTTCTACACAGCATTTTGGGTGTAATTTCCTTCTGCCCTAGCTTCAAAGGGCTAATCCAGGACCCAACAGACACAGCAGAAGGCTCCTCTTGACTCTTACGGTCTTTGCTAGACTCTATCACTTGTGTTGCAGCAACCATGATAAAGAGCCTATGATCTGAATGTGGGCAACAGTTAAATTATCGTGGTTTGTGGGTTGACTATGTAATTTCTAGGTTGACTTTGGTGTGAATGGCCAAAAGTGTCCGTAATAGTGAAAAGAGAAACAGGTCTTCAGTCACCATGACTGAAACACACTTCAGTTTTCAACTGTGTAGCATAAAAGACATCACTGTTAAGTGTTCGCCCACGAGTCTGATCAGCCCACCTGTATCTTGCAAGGCAAGGGGAGAACTATATCCCACTGGACAAAAAGGGATTTGAAACAGGTCATTAAAACAGGAAGTCTGTTATCTATCACACATGACTGACGGTAACATACCTTACGGTGGGGTCAAACTGAACAACTCATCATCATTAGTGGACATTTCACACCTGTAAAGCTAATATTTTGTGGAGAGCAAAACTTGGTTAAAATGTCCCAACATTTGATTTTAAAAAGTGCACAAATGCACATGCAACCCCCCCTCTCCCACATAAAATCAATTATTTTTTTCACAAACCTATTTTGGAAAGTATCATGAGCACATTAAGAAAGCTCCACATCACTGATGAGTTCTGACGGAAAACAGATAATATTCCAGGCACTGGGAGCTGCTGGTCCCCATAAAAGCTCAGGCATGTCTACACATGCATTTACACCAGCTGCAATTTACTGCACAGTAAGTTACTGCACAGCGAGCATGAATAGGCTGGTGTCTACACAGAAGCTAGTCCATAGACCAAATTTGCTCTGTCAATAATGCACAGATTCTATAGCTGGAGGTCAAAAATTGATCAGAGTGGACCGGCAGCAGGTTTACTCACAAATGAAGGTGGAGAGGGAAAAAATCATGGGAGCTGTTGATAGTATTCATGAGGGGCTACACCATGACTGTGCTTCATATTTTCAGGTAACATTGGTATCCACCTCATTGCCAGGCCTATATTCAAATGGGCTGTCAGAGCTACATGGTTGTGACCTGGGGTAGAGTGGGAATATGCTAGGAAATGCAAGAGTGTTTATGCCGTATGAGGTGCCTGGAACAATTGATATAGCCTATGTGATGCTAAAAAAGGTCCTGGTTTTCTTTTTCCACCACCCCATAAGACAATAGACTCTAAATCAGCTTCATGTCAAGTTAGGTTTGAGATTACATTGACCAGAAGTCAGAATTTTGCCCTTAAATGTAATGGGGGAAAAATCAAGACCTTTGCTTCTTTTTCTTAAAATGACTGCAAGTGTTCACAAGCAATATTACAACAGGCCACTGTGAGCATCCCTGCATCTTCATCAGTAACTGTACCGTAGCAGCCCAGGGTCTGTAGCCCTATGAACAATGTGGCCAGAATAAATGAGTACGGCCCTCCCAGTATCCATGGAGAGTTGTCTGCAACAACACACCAATCTCTGTCATGAGTCATGGAGGAAAGTGTTGAAATAGCTGGTTTCAAACGTTCTTAGAAATCTGAAATAGAGCTATTCCAAATGAAGGTCTTTTTCTCACAGTACATTCATAGATTGTTAGGGGCTGGAAGGGGCCTTGCAGATGACCAGGTCCCACCCCCCATCTAAGATATCTAAGACATGGGGCAGTTATGCATCTTTTTAAAGTTCTTGTCACTGTAAAACCTAGGTAGCATTGAAATCGCTGACAGAGTATTATAGTACCACCAAGCCCCACATTTAAATATCATCCTCAAAATTGCAAGAGTGCGTTAAATACCATTGGTTTAATAAAAGATTTCATCCATTAAAATCCTTGCTTCTTAAATATCGTGGGACATTTTTAAATAATTACATTTGGATTCTTTTATTTGCCTCTTGTCTTTTTGTATCTTAATGGGGTCATGATTTCTGAGCTTTTCTGTACAGTGACAAGGGCCAAACACTGACTTATATAAATGACAGGCAAGATTCTCAGTTAATCACCCGGCTCCAGGTCTGGTGGGTTTAAGGTAAATATTCACGATTGGGCGACTCACACAAGAAAACAGCAAAAGCTGGCAACTATGGAACTGGCACTATCTGAAGATATCCTGTTTTCCAACTTATCCACTTCTGTATTTTGCATTTTTAAGTGGAAAGATATGCTGGATGTTTGTCTCCACCGGAAACAATGTCTGCGTATTCCTATTCTGCACTTGACTTTATTGAAGGAGACCCATAGTTTTTCTGGGCTTCGCACTGGGTGTGTCTATGTGTGCATTTATGCCAGTTTAAATTTACTGTGCAGTAAGCTGGAATAGGCCAGCAACCACACATGTGGGCATTAAAGCATACATATTAACGCTGTATGTGGACTGACTTGGGGCTAAAGTTGGTCCTGAGTCAGTCCACACACACGGTGTTACTGCTCAGTAAGGCGTCTACATGTGTTACTGTGCAGTAATTAATTGGGTGTAAATTTGATACCTGCATAATGCCGGTATCAAATTTACACTCAAGTCAGCATAAGTCACCTTATTTACTGCACAGTATGAGCATGCACGTGTAAATACATGCCCATACTGTGCAGTAGTGTCGGTTACTACGCAGTAAATGTGCACATGTAGACACGCGCACTGGGTCCTAAAGGAAGCAAAGCTCAAGAACGTTCTGGGCGTGAGACGCTTACTGCTCATTACTACTGCACAGAAGCATTGTGGGACACGAACCATGATGCGACGCTACTGCACAGTAGTAACAAACTACTGTGCAGTAGTAATGAGTTACTGTGCAATAAACATCACCAGGAAACCACGCAGGGCTGTTACTGTCCAGTAAAGCTAGTTACTGCACTGTCATTTAGTGCTCATGTATGCAAGTACTAAATGACTGTGCAGTAACAACCGCACAGTCAGCATCTCATGTAGATGTGGCCTCTGATCACTGGAAGTCAATACTTCCACCAATGTCAGGACCCCTTTCTCTGAGCTACTGAACTTCCATACTCAAAAGTGAGTATAAACCTGTGTTTTTTCAATGATGAAAAATAGCCTGAGGAATTTTATTTGGAGTCTGAGGATTGCTGGACTGTCAAATTATTTCCAACATTAGCACCTTTATCATGCTGCCCAAAAGCTTCCCTTTCCCCCTGGATAAATAAATTACCAAAGAGCTGAGACTGTGCAGGCTAAGAGAAGAGAAAGGTAAATCAGAGAGTTAGAGACATTCGGTTCTGTTTCTGCCCATCGGTTTTCCAGGTTGGGGGTATAAATATAGTTAAAAACACGCGGACCACCTCCTAGATGCAATGAGATAAAAGGCACCAAAAGAGGACATGACAGAGTTAGGTCATCTCTGAGCCAGGATAAATATTAACACTATCAAACGACTGTGAAAAATCCCAGCGGAGGATTAGAACTGGGGATTCCTTAGAAGAAGAAGAAGAAAAGAGAGGGAGATAAATGGAGGCCTTTTTAACACTCGGAGTCTAGTGCAGCAACCCTTTCTCTCAACACACTGTCATGCTCTTTCATAGAGCAAATAAAGCTTTCATTTCCAGAGCCCCTTCTCCTTACTCGAGTGCTACCGGTACATCATGGAAAGAGAGAGGAACCTTGTCAAGTGACAGGAGTGGTTTTCAATTGGCTTTAAAGAGGGATTTAGTGAAATCTGATCTTGTGTTATCACAAGCAGCACTTTCCTCCCCGGCTCCCACACCCTCTCTCCGCCTTGTTCAGCTTTCTCCGCATCCTTCAGTCACAGACCCGTTCACCAGAAGTATTTAGGGTGAAGGTGTCAGATTCTGGCATAGGCTTCATAATGGACTAAACATGATGATAACAGGCTTAACCCCTGGGGGATGTATATGAGGAATTTTCAAAGGGAGCACAGATTTCACAGAGGCTGTTTAGAAGGGTCTTTACTTAGCAATTGAGCACCTCTTCCTTGCCCTGAAGATAACCAGATAGGTGAGACACAGGGAAATGTGATAAAATAGCAACTGGGGATTTTCTATCTAAAAATGTCCCTCCTGAACCCCAGAGGGAAGAGCACGCAGACGCCCGCCACCCACATTTTGAATGGAGGGTCACAAAGTCTACTTGCTGCCAGTGGGATTTTGCAATAGCAAAATCAAAACACAGTGGGCACGTCTATGCGAGATGCGTACTGCACATTAGCTGAATAACCAAGGATCCTGGTTTTCTCTGATAAAAACAATCCCCAATTTTTGGATTAAAAAAGTAAGCCAAAATCAATATTGTTCCCTGATTAAAATGAAACACCACTAATATTTAATACATCTAGATATATCTAGATACATATTAGTAACCCAAAAAGTAACCCATGATTAAAATGAAACACTACTCATATATAGCTATATATATATATAGCTATATCTATATATATATCTATATATTAGCGTATCTGTATATTAGTGGTATTCATTATAATCATGGAAAAATGGGGATTTTGGGTTACTTTTTTAAATCCAAAAATTGGGGATTTTTTTTAATTAGAAAAAACCAGGATCCCTGCTAATACCACTGTGCAGTAGTGTGGAAGTTAAAAACTGTGCTAATAGCCTACTACACAGTGTTATTAGGCTAATGTACAGCAAGCATCACAAAATAACCATGCACCGACGCTACTCCGCAGTAACTCTAGTTACTGCGCATTTAGCTAGTACTTTTTAAAGCAAGTATTAAACTAAATGCCCAGTATCTAAGGCACATTAATGAATGTGTAGATGAACCCAGTATGTC